TTTTATTTTGATTGGGTTGTTTGGTTAGTTTTGAAAAAGTCGATTAATTAAATTTGAGTGGAATTTTGAGTTTGAATTAAAATAATATTTAAAATAAAATGATTAGAGTTGACTTTATGTAAAAAGTAGGAGAGGTGGTTGTTAAATTTGAGTGGAATTTTGAGTTTGTATTAGAATAATATTTAAAATAAAATGATTAGAGTTGAATTGATGTAAAAGTATGAGAGATATGGTTGAAAGTGATAGTTAATTAAAATTATGTAAGTGGATAAATAGTGAACTAGAGTTGGTATGATGTTTATGAATGATTGATTTATATTATTTACTTATATTAATAATGTTGAGGTTAGTGTTGTTGGGTTAAATTTGAGTTAGATTTGAATTGAGATTGAATTTTTTTTTGGGAAAAACTTATAAACAAGCACCCTCCGAGTAATTTTTCTAGACCACCAATGGTTGTTCCGATGCTTTAGATTAATATGACATGTTTCGTGTAGAGAACTTGCCAAAAGCCAACTGGGAATTCTTTAAGAAATTGTTCCTCACAGAAAATGGTTTCTGAGTTGTTTTAGTTCAGAAAATCTGAAGTTACTTTCTTAGGTTGCATAAGAAAATTTCCAGGCTTATACGGAGAAGTTAGTTCCAAATGAATCTCTTATTTAGTAGAACTTGATCAGAGGTCGAAAGGGGGCATCTTCGAGTTATTTGGGCTGCTAAGGTACATAATATTTTTTACTTCTTTGCTCTAAAAACCTTCATAATTGTCTGCCTAGTATTTGTTTCCTAGTTTCATTTAGACTTCTATTTGGATCTTACACGTAGACATTGTAATTTGACAGTCTCTAGTGTTTTTTACCCTCTTGTGGGGAAGGCTCGACTGGACTTCTCATGGGTAGCTGAATGTCACATGTTATGTTATGCGTATAACATCTCTCCATGACTCTGAACATGTTATTCGTTGTATCGATCAGCATGGCTAGCTTATCAATCTTTCTTACAGACATCCTTTTCGAAATAATGAGGCTTGCTATATGGCTACAATACCAACGCCTCTGTTTTTTGTTTGTGGTGTAACATTGGCTTGATGTACCTTTAGTGTTCTTCGGCTAACATTGACAAGGAGTGGTCGTTTACTTGTTTAGACATGAATATTGTTCTTGTTCTTATTAGCTGATTGAAAGTTGAATGTGATCCCCTTCATGTAAGATAACATGTAATTCTCCAGCTGGGTTTGTGTTTTACTTGTTGTCGGGTGCAGTAAAGTTCATCATCTGAATTTGTATTCTTTTGGTCAAGGTTTTGTTTGTGTGCTTTGACCTGATTGTGTGCAGCTTAGGTGTATGTGTGGAATGGGTAGATTTTACCCTTCTCTATTTGAGATCCAATAGTGAGAAACACGGTCGCATACTGCATAAACCGGTAGACATGAATCTTCCCTTATGAAATGATAGATGCTCGAATGGAAAATGGTAATTTTTGAAGTTCGTATTTTAGGGTGACATTTTCGTTCAAAAGTATTGCTTATCTATATTTATATCTATCTATCTATATCTATACTTAGGGTTGTAAACGAATCAAATCAAAGTGAATACTCAGAAATTCGATTCGGCTTCGTTAAAATATTCGAAGATTCGAATTCGTATTCTCGGTAACGAACTCATTTGTTGATTCGTATTCGATTCGTTTAGAATATTCGAACATATTCGATTCGATTCGAAATTCGTTATAAAAAAAATATAATTAAAAAATATTATAATTACAAAAAATAATTTTTATTTTTCATATATTTTTAGGAAAATTTGTTAATTTATGATGTTTTTACTTTTTATGTCATAAAAATAGTAGGAAATTAACAATATATATATATATACATATATATTATAAAAAAAATGTATACTATATATAATTTATAAAATTTATATAATTATTGTTAACGAATCGAATGTTCGAATTTTGAATCGAATATCTACAAATTCGAATTCGGATTCGTTTAACTTTCGAATATAAAACATTATTCGTATTCGAATTCGAATTCGAATATTTCAAATTCGAATCACGAATATCGAATTTGAATATCGAATCGAATCAAAAAAATTTGATTTGTTTACAAGCCCTATACTTCTGCCTATATCTATATCTATCTAAATCTTCTATTTATCTATCTATATTACTCTAAGGGGGCGTTTACTTCGCGGGACGGGATAGGATAAAGTAAAATAGTCAGAAATATCTTACGTTTACTTATAAGGATTGGGATGGGAATAACATGACATGGCGCCCATGTGGCACGCGCTGATCAGCCGATTTGGGACAAAAAAACCACCCCCCCCAGACAAAATAATCCCGATTTCTAAATACCATTCCTACCCTCAGATTTTGATGCGATAAGACCAAAATGCCCCTTGATTTCCACTTATTTACATTTATCTCCCAATAAAAGGAAAAAAGTCGTCATTTTGCCCTAGCTGCTGCAAGAACCTCGCCATTGTTGTTCGCTTCGGTTTTTCCGTCGTGTTGAAGATGATGTTTTTTAATTCACTTCTCTTAAATTTTTGAGATTGATTTATGCGGTCATTGTTGTGAAATAGCGCCATTGTTGTGAATTCGATCATTTTGCAGAACCCTAGTTCCTGCAGAAGTGAACAGACAAAGGTGTAAGCTTCGAATTCTCCATCTGGCCTATAGGTAAGCTTCGCAATCGCCACAATAATCTTTTCTATTTCAATTTATGTCAACTTTTCCGAAGATTCGTGTGTTGTTAATTCGATTTGTTTTTTCTTTTTTGGTTATCTTTTTTTTTTTTTTTTTTTT